CAGCAGGAAATGTGGACTAAGCACTGGAACACCCCTCCCTCTAGGTTTATCCTCCCTTCCACATTAGCACCATACCTCCTCAGGGCAGGGGCCTCTCATCTTGCATGCTGGAGAGCTCCAAGCATTGGGGGTGCTGTTGAAATAAACAAACACATTATGAAGGATTGTAGTTTAAACTGTGTGTGAAAAGTAGGGATGGGCACAAACTGCATTTTTGCAGTTCACTGCGGTTCGTGGCTGAACCACGAACTGCTACGAACCAGGATTTTGGTTCACGAACCGACCCAATTTGTTTCGGTTCATGAGCCATTTAAAGTTTAAACCCTTGCTTTCTGCTTCCTGCGAAAAGCCACAGGGAGCAGAAAGCAGGGGCTCCCAGCCATTTAAACCAAACAGCTGAGCCCCTGCTCTCTTTAAGCCCTTCTTTCTGCTCTTCACAAACCGCCATAAACTGCATCAAAATTCATCAAAGTTTGTGAACGTTGCTTTACGACCCACAAACCACCCAAAATTCATGATGAACTTTGTGCCCATCTTTAGTGAAAATTTTGTATAAGATAGCCGGCACTTCTGTTTTAGGCTAATGCTTTATCCCAGCTATCTCCATGGAAATAGTCACAATTGTCATTTTATGTTTTTCAGAAATTGTTTTGCGATCTGTCTTGGCATGGGCGACCATTCCCACACCTGGTGGAGAAGATCAGTATCTGGAGGTGTCACATTTACCGCTGTCTTGCTGAAACGACCCAAGGTGTGAGGAGGAGAGGGACAAGTCTCTTGGCCCAGCAGCCATGCCATTTGGGCTGAAATTGCGGAGGACCAGGCGCTACAATGTCCGGAGCAAGAACTGTTTCATGACCCGGATTCGCTTGTTGGACAACAATGAGATTGAGTGCACACTGTCCGTGGAGAGCACTGGGCAAGAATGTCTGGAGGCCGTAGCTCAGAGGCTGGAATTGCGAGAGGTGAGGGTAACCCAGGAAAAGACCATCTGTCACTTTCCATTTGGCATATGTTTAGCTCAAGCAGTTTGTCTTTTGGAAGCTGTTTATTAGAATCATGTTATTCTTGGAATAATCCTAATCTTACTGTTGAATGGAACTTTGGCAAACATATCCTAGTTACATAAAAAGAAGGGGACTGTCCATTACCTTCAGTTTGGTTTGTGATTCACTGTTATTTCCTGCTTCGGCAAACTCAAAGTGATCTGAAAGGCAACTTGATTCTCTTTTTTGCATAACTCTGTTATTTTACATTTTGAGTGGGCAGCTGATGTTTCCACATTTGGGCATGGCATCAAACATGTTCAGACTCCCACTTGTAATTTGAGGCAGCTGTATCTTTTGTATGTTTCTCCTATTCATTTTTTGTAAAAAAAAATATCAAGTTTGTTTCCCCCCTGTTTCAATAACAAATCCTTGATTATTAGTGCTGATTGAGTGTGCATGTAAATTTCAAAGTGACTCAGGGACTCCACTAACTTTTGCTGGAGTTTGAGCACTCTTAATGGGTAGTAAACCCCAACAAGTTCAGTGTGATCCAGTCCCAGTTAAGGGTGCATGGGATTTATTTGTTTATTTATTCAGTTAGATTTTTAAACCACCTTCCGCTGTGGAACAGGGCTCAGGGCGGTGTACATCAGTATAAAATAATTACACAAAAGTCATATTTAAATCTGTAATATATTATACAACCATAATAGCCTATGACCAAACAGATGGCGATGGAACTGCCAGAGTATGCCACTGCCTCGTGGGGGGGGGGAGGCAGGAGAAACAGGAGTGCCAGCAAGATGGAGCGCCGTCGCTGTCCTCAGTGAACCACCTGGCAGAACATCTCTGCCTTGCATGCTCTGCGGAACTGCATTAAGTCCCACAGGGCACAGATGTTATTTGGCAGAGAGTTTCATCATGTTGGGGCCAGGGCCCCTGGTCAAGGACAGCCGGATGTCTCTTGGGCCAGGGACCAGCAGCAGGTTCTTATTAGCCAAGCGTAACACTCTTCAGGGGGTGTTCCAGGAAAGGCAGTCCCAAGGATACTTGGGTCTCTGACCATTAAGGGCCTTAAAGGTTAGTACCATAACCATGAACCTGATCCAGTACTCCACTGGAAGTCAGTGCAGCTCATAGAGCACAGGTTGAATTTGTGCCATGTGCAAAGTCCCTGTGAGGTCTCACGCTGCTGCGTTCCAGACCAGTGGGATTTCTGGGTCAGTCTCAAGGGTGGCCCTATGTAGAGGGAGTTACAGTAGTCCCATCTGGAGGTGACTGTTGCATGGATTACTGTGGCAAGGTCAGGGTGAGACAGGAAGGGGGCCATAAGGAGGCATCCAGAATCACACCCAGGCTCTTGACAGTTGGTAACAGTGTCAAGGGCACACCATCAAGGGCAGGGAGAGGATACCCCGGCTCTGAATCCCCCCTCCCCAGCCACAGAACCTCAGTCTTAGCAGGATTCAGTCTCAGCTGAATCTACTTTAACCATCCCATCACAGCCTCCAAACCCTCAGCCAGATTCACTGGGGCGGCATCTGGCCAGCCACCCATCAACAGATATAGCTGGGTGTCATCAGTGTACTGGTGATATCCCAGCCCAAAGTTCTTATTCTGGATGAAGACACAGACATAATGCAGAAAGGGAACTCAGCAGCTGCATTCAGAAGTGAAGTCACAGCTAAGTAAACATTCATATGACTCTCACTTCTCTGCTGTGTCTTCCCACATGGAGATTTGCAGCTAAAAGCTCATTCCAGTTACTGATGATCCGCAGGTAATCTGAAGCTAACTTTCCTCCGGCTAACCGGTATTCCAAACCAGAGTATAATCCAGGTTTAGAATCTTTGGTTAGTGAGGCGGATACTTACTCTGGTTAAACTGTGTTTGCATTCAAGGATAACTGGAGTTAGCTTTTACCAAAGGATTCTCTTGAGGAGAAAGGAGAATTGACAAGCATGCAAGATTGGCAACAAGCAGATTTTGTGTAGATCTTAACTTGACAGGAGAGCTAGTGGGTTCCTTGGCCATGGCATGATCACACTTTCCTCTTAGCTCCACAATTCCAATGACAGACACACACATTAATTAACTGAATGCAGCCACCAGTCTTATCTTCCTTTTCATGTTTTAGGTGGCTCAAGTGGTTAAGACGCTGAACTGCAGGCTGGAAGTCTGTAGTTCAGCAGTTCGGGATCCAAGTGCCGCATGACGGAGTGAGCTCCCGTCTCTGGTTCCAGCTCCTGCCAACCTAGCAGTTCGAAAGCAAGAAATTGCAAGTAGATAAATAGGTACCACTTTGGTGGGAAGGTAACAGCATTTCATGTGCCTTGGCGTTTAGTCATGCTGGCCACATGACCACAGAAACGTCTTTGGACAGCGCTGGCTCTTCAGCTTGGAAACGGAGATGAGCACTGCAACCCTAGAGTCGGATTCGACTGGCTTTCGAGCAAGGGAAACCTTTACTTTTAACCAACTTTTTAAAAAATTCAGTGTGTTTACTCTGCTATATATATCCCCTTTGCTTTATTAATTAAAATTATTTTTCATAATGCAAAACTGCTCCAGCTTTTCTACTGTATGGACCATTTGCCCAGGCAGCTACATTCAGACATCACCCTAAACTGAAATTTGATTATGAGCTTCACAGATCAGGAAGTCTTTGATCATTCTCCATGGACCAGGGGAGAGGGGGAGGGAGTTGTGGGACCCTGTGTGAGCATGATATCTATCTACATTCATGGCCATTGTGACAAGCTGAGGTCTAAGTATGGTGATTTTTTCTGAGCTCAGATTTAAAGAGGAAGGATATGTTTGGGCTGAATGCAATTAGGCAACTTCCAGATCTAGTTCTCTGCTTTCTGCTTTAATAGAGTTGCATCCAGCTTCACTCTAAGGAGCAAGCTGAGAATGAACCTCCCTCTAAGCTGAACTCAAATTCTCTCTAGTAGCAAAGGTATTGGGAAAATAAGGGGTACATGGCAACAAGTTTTTAAAGTGCGAACTGTGTTTGTCATTGATGCAAGGTAAATGACTATAGCAGATTGCATATGTTGGTTGCTATTCATATGTTCCTACATTGCTCTAGCAGGAACTTTGATGTTTACACCTTCAGCTGTGTGTATATAGTGCTCTTTTGTTCCATATTATCGTATGGGAAATGTTCCTCGTGCACAGTGGAGGAATCACAGAATCAGAATTAGAAAATTCCAAAAGGTGGCCTAGCTCTTAGACATCATTAGCATCCATTGGATGTCCTATACTAGTACACTAAACTGCTATAAGGCTTTAGCTTGTGCCCCTTGATCTTCAAAACCGTCACAGTGCTGACAGAACAAAAGCACTTTCCTGTGGGACATGGCACTTGCAAGGCATCTCGTCCTGCTACCTATACAAAGCAGCTATGTGTGCTTAATTAGCGTGCCAAAGTAACATCTGCCTATCTAATCCATAGCTGTAGCTGCCCAAGTTAACTGAGGAGTTGTGCAGTTGCAAAGTTCCACAGGTAAGACCTTTCGTCCTGTTCAGGTTATATTTAAATCAGATCTAAGAGTTGAACCTGAAATCGAACTCAATGGGACCTACTTGATGTAGAGCCAGTTTGGTGTAGTGATTAAGAGTGCGGACTCTAATCTGGGAGAACCGGGTTTGATTCCCCACTTCTCCACATGCAGCTGCTGGTGTGACCTTGGGTCAGTCATAAGTTCTTTCAGAGCTGTTCTCTCGAGGGCAGTTCTTGAAAGAGCTCTGTCAGGCCCACCTACCTCACAGGGTGTCTGTTGTGGGGAGGAGAAGGGAAAGGGATTGTAAAATGCTCTGAGACTCCTTCAGGTAGTGAAGGGCGGGGTATAAATCCAATCTCCTCATCTCTTCCTCCTCGCTGAGTAGCTATGCTACCCTTCCAAAAAAAAAAGCATGTATTTGAATTTTCCTTCTATTTTTAGAATTCTGAAGTAGGGAAGAGAGCAATGGAATGGAATGACTTGCTTTAGCACCACTGGCTTAACCTTGCAGTGCTGGAGAAAAAAAGAGAAGGAATTCACCCAGGGAGTGTCTTTGTCTTTCACAGTAGCATTGCAAATACTCTGGCAGCAGCTAATCTCTCCATACTATTAGGCAAAGGCAGTTGCAGCTCTGTAAGCAAGCTACAGCTGCTTTTGTAAAAGAGATGCTATTCCAAGGGTTAAGGTGATTCAGAGAATTGGCAGTTGCTCCTCTCCTTCTGGAGTGCAGGGAATGTTAAGAGGGAAGCAAACTTGGAATTAGTACTAATGGTTTTCAAATGTGATGAAGAGAACTCAATTTGCATTCCTTCACTAGGAAGATCATAGAAAAGATCCTTGATACCGTTGATATCTAAGTGTTCTGAAACTGTTGGACAAAGACTGTGGTGGTGCTTTCATTTTTCGCTCTCTCACCTTTTTAATTTTGTAAGTCCTGGACAAGGAACCTTTAGCTGCCCCCTGTACTAGGAATGTGTAGTTGGGGGGGAAATTATTGGAATTTTTCAGATTTCAGGAAGGGTATCCATACCGGTAGTTAAATTATTTGTGTCTCCAGTAGTGTTTCATTATTGTCATTGTTGTTGTTATTTTCTGGACATTTTCAGCTCCTGTGGGGTATTGGGGGGGGGGAGCTGGTAGATGACACAAATTGCAGGTAGATGAGACCAAAAATGCAGGGAATCTAGGTCCTGCCTGTCCAATAAATGACCCTTCCCCGTCACTACTAGTAAGGTATTTGCCTGCCTGGTGCGAAGGTAGCGGACATTACATGTGTTTTAGATAGGCTGGTAGATACTGCTGGGGAGGAGCCAGTGATCGTGGTGCATGTCGGCACCAACAATGTGAGGAAATGCAGTCGTGAGGTCCTGGAGGAGAAGTTTAGGCTGCTGGGCAGGAAACTTAGGTCTAGGACCTCCAAGGTAGCCTACTCAGAAGTGCTACCTGTTCCACGCGAGGTAAAAAGGATTCCTTTAAGCAGTGGAAAGCTAGTCACAGTGCGGCTGATAAAACGGAACACAGGCTATGGCAAATAAAATGCAAGTCTGTGGTCAGGCAGGCAAAAAGGGAATATGAGGAGCATATAGCAAAAAATGTAAAAACCAACAATAAAACTTTCTTCAAATACATTAGAAGCAGGAAACCAGCCAGGGAGGCAGTGGGGCCCTTGGATGACCAAAGGGTAAAAGGAGTACTGAAGGATGATAGGGAAATGGCTGAGAAGCTAAATGCATTTTTTGCCTCTGTCTTCACTGTGGAAGATGAGAAGTGCTTGCCCACTCCAGAACCGCTGATTTCGGGAGGGGTGTTGAAAGACCTGAGTCCGACTGAGGTGATGAGAGAGGAGGTCCTAAAACTGATAGACAACTTAAAAACTGATAAATCACCAGGCCCAGATGGCATACATCTGAAAGTTCTGAAAAAAACTCAAATGTGAACTTGTAGATCTCCTGACAAAAATATGTAATCTTTCCTTAAAATCTGCCTCCATTCCTGAGGACTGGAAGGTAGCTAAT